CCCCGGCTCCGCCGCCCCCGCTTCCTCCGGCCGCCGGTAGTTCGCTCCCCGCCCGCCGCCGGGAAGACTACAACTCCCGGCAGGCTCCGCGCCGCCTCAGCGCCGCTCCCCGCTGGCGCCCCGCCGCGGGGAACGACGGGAGTTGTAGTTCTGAGATGAAGGGTGTAATGGCGGCGCTGAGGCGGTGTCAGGGGGAGGCGCGGCTCAAGCGCTGTTTGCGGAGAGGAGCAGCCCGTAATTGACTTTTTGGGGTTGTTTGGTGACCCCAAAACGCCAGTTAGAGGCAGTTCTTAAGGATTCCCTACCAAAGAATTCTTTCGCTGTTCAAAATAATAATTATTGAAAGGCTGGGTGAACTGGGAATGTTCCCCTGGAGAAGGCTCCAGAGAGAGCTCAGAGCCCCTTGCAGGGCCTGGAGGGGCTCCAGGAGAGCTGGAGAGGGACTGGGGACAAGGCCTGGAGGGACAGGACACAGGGAATGGCTTCCACTGCCAGAGGGCAGGAATGGATGGGATCTGGGGAAGGAATTCCTGGCTGGGCTGGAATTCCCCGAGCAGCTGTGGCTGCCCCTGGATCCCTGAAATGTCCAAGGCCAGGCTGGACAGGGCTGGGAGCAGCCTGGGATGGTGTGAGGTGACCCTGCTATGGATGGGGTGGTGCTGGATGGGCTTCAAGATCCCTTCCCACCCGAAAAATTCCATAATTTCCTCATGGGTGGAACTCCCAGTTCTAAGGTTTGTGTGGAATCCCCTCAAAATCGTCTGTCAAACCCTCCGTGACCAGCAGAAACCACGTCGACTCAAAAGTGGGAATTCCATCCCACAGATACTTCATTTTCAATCCGTTTTTGATCTGAATCAGACCCAAATCTCTTTTTTTCATCTTTGAATGCCGCAGGTGTGAAATCCCATGAACAAATCCCGACCAGCCACAGTCAGTCCAGGAATGAGGCGCTGCTTTTTTTATGGAAAAAAGCATAAAAAGTGAGGCCCTTCCAGCACCTCAGAGAATGTGAGTGAAACCTGGGCAGCTCCTCTGCTGCTCAAAGCTGCTAAAGATTGGGTGAAACTGCCAGGATTTCCCTTTTTTTTGGCTCACGGGAAGAATTTTTGGGCTCTCTGACTCCAAACTGAAGATCCCAAGGTTTTAAATTCTTATCTGGGGGCTGGAAATGGAGATTGATCAGAGCTCAGGACTTGAAAACCTGGAAACCGAAGCAAAAAGGGGCAGAAATATTTGGATATTTCGAGGGTTTTGCCTGCAGATAGGAACCTTGCAGTCTCTTGATGAAATCATATCAAAATCTGGGGATTTGGAGCCTCCTATGTGAGATTTCCAAGGATTTTGGCTCTGAATTTAACTGAAGTTCATTGTGCCCACACCTGACAAAATAATTTGGTGTTTTCTGACCTCTCTCTAGGTAGAAACCCTCCAAGTGGCTTCCTTGATCTTCCATCAAGCCTTTTTAAGTGGTTTATTTTTAATTCAAAAGCAAAATAAAATTAAAATTTTAAACAAACAAATAAATAAATAATAACTAATAGATCATCATTTGAATGAATTAAAATGAAAGTTTGAAGTTAAAATTTAATTTAATTAGCAGCAGACAAAGCAAATTTCTGGGCTTTCCTGGTACTTTTTTTTAACATTTCCAGGCTTTCCTTCTCCCATCTCCTCAGTTCTGCACAGGTCAGGATGATGGATTTTTTTTTTTCTGTTCCCTTCACTAATCAGCTCTTGCTACTTTTGGCCTTTTAATTTTGCTTTCTTGGAGTTTTAGAGGAAGGTTTTGATGGGGAATTGAGGTGGTTTTGCTGCCACAAAAATTGCAGCAAAATGCTGCTGTAAACTGGATTAAAACCACCCAACAAATCGTTTTGTTTTTTTTTTTACTGAAGTGTGAAAATAACCCCAAAATGTCAGCTCAGGAAGCTTTTGGGGTTTTTTGGCCATTTCCTCCCATCTTGTCCTTTATTCCCTGGGAGAAGATCCTGATTCCCACCTGGCTCCATCCTCCTGTCAGGGAGTCATGGAGAGAGATTTAAAAATAAATTTCACTTAAAATTAAAATTAAAATTAAAATTAAAATTAAAATTAAAATTAAAATTAATATTGAATCATAACTCAGTTCACATCCATTCTGTGGCATCCAAATAAATGGCAAAATAACATTAGAAAATAGAAAAAAATTAATTAATATTAAAAAAAATAATAATAAATATATCTATGAATGTAATTTAAGAATCAGTTTGCTTTCACTGGTACAATCTGTGGCACTCCAAGGTTTGGGATAAGCCCTGGCATCAATATGAGTTCCTGACTCCTGGAATTAAGGGAAAAAACAGAATTGTGGCCTCTTGGGATGTTGGGTGAAGGATCAGGAATCCTTCAGCTGTGCCACAATTTGAACGATCAGTGAGAAAATGCCAGCAGGGAATTCAGAATCCCGCATTTTTTTAGTAGTTTGCTACTTTTCCCAGCCTCAATCCCACAAAAGAATCAATTTTTGGTCTTTCCTTTGGGTACAAACCCAGTGAGAAGGGAAACCAGGCAGAGCTGGTTTGTCCTGTGTGAAAAATTCTCATTTTATCTCCAGGAAATCATTTTTTATGCCTGATAAATGGGGCAAAATGTGATAAAAAACACAGGAAATTTAACTTTGTGACACGGAGGGGCTGTGGAAATTCCATCCCTGGATGGGGCACCTGGAATGACCACGATTTTCTGTTTTCTCTCTCATTTTAGGAGCTGAGAGAAGATAAATCCTGATGATTTATGGGTTTGGATCACCTTGAAGATTCCCAGTGTGGGAGGCTGATCCCAGGTTTTCGTGGGATTTAATAACTCATTAAACAGCTTGGAAAAAATGCACTCAGACAACTTAAAATTATTTTCCCGAAATCCCAGCAAGGTGAGATCCCCCTTCCCATCTCCCTCCTTCCCATTCCCGTGTCTGAACCCCATCCTGCTGCTTTTCCTGGAGAAAGATGGAGAATTCCTGTGGGATTTGGCTGTGCAAACCTCTCTTCTCCTCCAGGCAATTGTTCCCTGGAGCTGAATTCCCATCAGGATAAAAAAAATTCGGAACCAGTTGGGAAATGATACTCAGGGGGAAAAACTTGGGGATTTATTTGGGAGTTTATTCCTTGTTTTTCATCCCAGGTTTCTGGGAAATGAGGTGAAGGCAAAAGAGGGAAGAGCACCCTGGTTTTTAGTGGGATAACAGCCAGCTGTGGGATTTTGAATGCCGAGCTGGATTTTTTTTTTTAGGGATTTTTCCCCTCAGCTCTTCAGCACCCTGTTCTTAATTCCAATTTTTAGTGGGTTTAGGAGGGGAGACTCCCACACAAGATTCCCAGAGAAGCTGTGGCTGCCCCTGGAATCCTGGAGATGTCCAAGGACAGGGCTTGGAGCGCCCTGGGATAGTGGGAAGTGTCCAGAGACTGGAATTGGATGAGTTTAAGGTCCCTTCCCACCCAAACCATTCCAGAATTCCACCACAGCCAAGAGGCTCAGCCAAATCTTGGAAAAAACAGGGATCAGATCCTGGGATTTGGATTTCTCCCCATTGCTGTGGCAGGGGTGAGTATTTATGGGAAAAAAATGAAATCCTTTTTAGTGCCTGAATCCTAAACTGATCCAACCCAGAGCTGTGGTGGGAGAGACAACTCCTGTCTTAAATTCTTAAATCTCTCAGCTCCAAAACTTCAATTTTTTTTTTTTTTTGGGGGGGAACATGAACAACAGGAATTCCAGAACTTCCCTTGGAAATGCCCCAACCCTCTGGAATTTTGCAGCTGGAGGAGTTTTTCCATCCTCTCTTGGGAAGATTTTGTGGTTGTTTGCTTTAAATTCCCACTTTTTGTGTCCAATCTCATGACCAAAATAAACCCCTGAGATATTTTGAGGAGCTTTTGATGGGTTGAGTCTCTCTCCTTAAATTGTGACATTCTTGGGATTATTTATTCCATCAAAAACTTCCAGCTCCCCAAACTTTTCCTGCTGCTCCCTCCTCAGCAGAGGTTTTCCCAGGAATTCCAGTTATTTTCTAAAAAGTGTCTCATTTTTGGAGCTTTCCTCAGCTCAGCATTCCAGAAATTATCCCTATTTCTCTGGATGGAGAGGAGAAATTCCTGCTATCCCAAACATTTCATTTTCCATGAGATCCAACCGATTTTTTTTTTCCCACTCCTGGATTTTTCCCAGAGTTTTTCCCTTGGTCCAAAGTTCCAGGCTCCTTTCTCCTCATCAATTCTTAAATTCCCCCCACTTTTTTTGTTGATTCCTTTTATTTTCCTCTGCCAAGTTTTTTATTGGGGGATGAATTCCAAAGGATTTTTGCAGCTCCAGCTGCCTGTGTGTGTTGGAACTTGTCAACAATAGCAAAGCCTAAAAACTCCACGCATATTTTGGGGGAAAATTTGAAATAACTCAATTTTTATTATTTTTTTTTAAGCTTTTCCCCCCTTCCTCCTCCTCCTCCTCATTCCTTAAGGTTGTTAAATTTGACATCCCTGTAAATGAGCTGGAAAAACTCCAACCTGAAGTGCTTTTCCCTTTGGAAAACCTCCCTGAATCGGATTTTTGCTTTAGGCAAGCGACTTTCCAGAGGTGATTGATGGTATCTTGTCCACTAAAAATCCCTAAAAAAGGTGCAAAGAGGAGGAAAAGAGATTTTTATAATTTTTTAATTGTTTTTTTTATTTCCTTGTCCAGAAAATGAAACAGAGCCATCTATATCCAAACATGTATGCATTTGGAATTTTTGGCTTCAGTGGGATCCAAGAGAACATTCCCTAAAAGTTTTTTTTCCCTGGGATGTGTGGGGGAAGGGAAGTGTTATAAATGCAACGGCAAATTAAAGATTAACAAAGATTAATTTATTATAAATTAATAAAGCAACAAACAGTGAGGAAAAAAAACCACAATAAATGGACAGCGCAGCGCTGGGTGGACAGGGTCTATACGCAAGGTATAGGTGTTCCCAAATCCACGTCTGAGGGTCCTCTGGCCTGGGTTTTTATAGGGATTTTATGTCCCCAGGCTAGAATTCCAACCAGTTTCCATTCACCAAATGTCCCTGATTGTCGGGTGAATGGATTTCCTGGCCTAGAACATTGAGTCAGTAAGTATCCGGGCAGAGTCTCCTCAAATGTAAAGTGAGTCTGTATGTATTTTAACATATTTCATCACAGCAGGATTGAGAGATCCGGGCTGGTGCCGATGGATATCTCAGAGGAGTAGTCTCTTCTTTGTCTTTCTTGATTGAGTTTCTGTAGTATGGGTTTGGCAGGTGTGGTGTTCGGTTCTGGCAACGACCATCTTCCTGGGGCTCGTCCCTTTTGTCTTGCTTGATGGTCT